ACGAACATGTCTGAACATGTTTCGCGGTTGATGTCATGCGGTGGGGAGAGGGGGAGGGGGGGGATATACGTTTTAATAAAGAAAAAACATCCTACCTTAGTCCCCTCTCCTAAAATTCAGAGCGCTGATTGCGCGTTACAGAAACATTAATTTCCCCCTCCTTCATCATAGTTTTGGAAGGGTTATAGTGGGTGCTGTCGCGTATACTCGATTAATTTTATACGACTAGTCTCGTATCGGCTGCTTGTGCGAACGGTCCGCTTCTCATAACCGAGAGAAAAAATGTATTCCGTTGGAGGAAGCAACGGCGGCAACAGCGGCAACAGCGGCAGTAGACGTATGAATTATTAGGTGCCGATTCCCGATGTTGAAACTCCAACGTGTGAAAACAAGTAAGTTTTGTATAATTTATAGAGCTTTATATTTTTTATATCTTTTTTGCGAATTGTATTATTTTGAAAGTAATCTCATTATTTTTTTCTACAGCATTTTGTTGGATCGTCGCGCGGTTTGTATACTCAGCAGACGATACGCGCTGACAGCTACGGAATACAAATTCCTCGAAATTGGTATCAACGTGGGTCCACCGAGCTACGTGGAGATCGCCATTGGAGATCCTCGCCGAGGAAAGGAACTGCTGTTGTCTCTCGAAACGTGGAAGGCGCTATACGAGCAACGGCAAAATATTCAGAATTTCTTTCGCAATGACTTCACAGATATCCATAATTTTATAAACGTTGGACCGCTAACGGTGAGAGTTTGTACGGTTAATAACATCAAACTCATACGTCTCGAATCTGCAAACGTATGCTTGAGAATGACCGAATCGACGTTGCATCGTATGTTCGATCTCGATCGGTGCATCGATGCGAGATTCGATCATTTGATCAGAATACTTGCGACAGTCGATGCAAAGTTTGCGCAGTTCTCCGATATCGCGTCCACTGTGAAGGATCCCAAGGAAGCGTCGAATGTAATATACGCTAGCGATGCGTTCAATACGAATCAGATCATCGATTGTGAGCTCACAGCTTTAGTTTTTAGCACGTAAGATATATTATGTAAAAGAAGAATTAAATAAACAGGCTTTTCTTACACCCTAAAACGAACGATGTATTTTTCTTTTACGTGCATGTCCTTCCCTATACCTAACTTTTATCATATGTTGTTTACAACGAACATGTTCCGACAGGTTCGATGCGTTATCAGGTCGATCATCGTCCCGATGACGTCAATTTTTTCCTTTGTTTTTTACGTACTGCGTAGATAGATTGTTTAGTCCACGCGATAACCCCCTCCCCTCTTTTCCTAGAAATATGTTGTTTACGTCGAACTGGCGTATGCTGCAGATAATATTGTACATGATGCATTACATGAGAATTAAATGTATATTAAAATGCATATCACTGTATCTAAAATTATCTTTCCTTCTCCCAATTATTTATTATAAAGAAAAAAAACGCGAGCGAAGGGGCGCGAGCAAGAGAGGACGCGAACGAAGAGACGCGATCGACAGAGAACGCGTTCACATGTGTTGATGCTCCGTCGAACTTTTGCCTGCCATTGTAGTGCAAGACATATTT